GTGGCTTTGGTGGGCACCTGGCATCCAGCCAGGGTCAACCCACCACAAAGGTATAATTAGCAGGGCTTTTAACTAGACAATAATTTCAATGTTATCAAAACCATAACCAAAACAGTTTTCATTCAGATCCCAGCAATGTCATCATAAAGATCCCATCTACTACTGTTTGCCCCATCTGCTTCTGTACTTCTACATCCTTTGACTACAAATTCATGAAGCAAACACTGCAGTACTTTCTTACCAAAGGAAACATGCACCTATAGCACATATACATCAACATCAGATTTTACCCCATCAAAAATACATTCTTAAAATATTCTGCAAGTGCTTACATATGAATGGGTGTGATTCTGAACAATTATGAACAAAAAATGAGAGCAAAACCTTTCCTAAGTAAGTCTGCTTGTATTTTAAAACATCTCATTGATCACATACAGTTTTAATTAAGATTAAATCATTTCACTAGCAATTAAAGCCAGTGCATGTTCTCTAATACACTGCTTAAATTATATTGAATTATGCAGGTGACATTTTCTGAACTAACCTCCAATCTCTATTCAGGTTTAGACAGTTCTCAGTTACAAAAAGGATGAACGAGCAGGACATCAATCACTTTGGGATATTAGCACCTTAAAGATGTCTTTAGCAGGTCAATAATCTTTTCACCTTCGAAGGACTTTATCAGATCTTGTCTAAAGCCTGGATAAAAGCTTTTGCATTAAGTACTTCTAACAATTGGCAGTGTATCTCCACCACACAAAGCTGTTTTCTTCCTTAAGGATACAATCCTCAAGGTCATGATTCTCAGCTGCCTTCCAGCATGACAAAGGAGCATTACCTACCGCCAAACAAGCTGTCAACACAAACTTTGTCACAGCCTAGATAAAGAAACTGGCAGACAGTGATAATAGGTCTAATTTCCCCTCCTCCCTAGGGAGGTAAACAGATTTCAAATCAGTCTAAAACCCTATGCACGTGAAGCAATGTTATCTTTGAAGATACAATAGAAAGAAACTCACTGGAAATTCATCTAGGGGTTCATTGATTTCAAGGTCTAGCACTTCATCTTCTTCTCCAGGCTCTTCCCCATATTCTATTTGGTCTTCTGTCAGTTCAGGATCATTGCCTTCATAATGTCCTTCCTCTGCATACTCTGAAGCATATACTTCAGGTGCTTCAGATTTGTCATAAACAATTTCATCCTCCCCTTGGTCATACTCAGACTCATGTTCTATCGATTGGTCGTTGATGGTCTCAGAGAGCTCGTATGATGTAAGTATGCCAGATGTAGCACTGAGGCTAACTGTGACACCTTGAGAACTATGGTATGGGGGAAAAAAAAAATTCAGAGGTTGAAGCGTAACAGTCAACTACTCACAAAGATTTAGCAAAACGAAGCCAACGAATACAAATTCTCTAAGTTGATGGACAAAATTATACCTCACACACTATTTGATTTCATGCCATATTCTCATAATGCATACTGTACTGCAGCTTATCACCAGCTGCAGGCTATTTGACCAGGGGAATCAAACCAACCAGATGGTTTAGCAGGTCAAACTGGCAAAAGTCCTGCTTGGTAACCAAAGCAGACTGGATTCAATTTTAATTCACAGACTAATAAAAAATACACAAAATTACTATAACTGCATCTGTTTTCCCAATCTTTCAGAATAAGACAGTAAATTATTTTTTATTAAACGTATTAATATTGTTCCTTCTTGATTATCTTGAATTCAAACTTACATTTTTATGACAGATTTAATGTTCTACTTAGAATAATGTAAAATATGTAGTCAAGAACTGTCATTTAAATGCCTAAGATTTATTCTAACTTAGTAACAGCACTGGCATAGACACTGAAAAAAACCCAATCAATACAAAAACAAGTTTATAATCTGAAGGATAAGCAAAACTCAGAATTTACTATTTTCATAAGTTCGGGGGAACAAGATTCAGGCAGCTTTGTGCTATCTGCTGAAAGACGGAGAAGATTTAACACAAAAACAAAGACATTATGCAGGATTATCATTATCCTCCCAACTACAGAAGCATAAATGAGTTTGAATGGAAATAGAGGAATAGGGGAAAGGAACGGAGCAATGCTCTTACTCCCTGGCAATAAAACTGCTAAAAACGCAAGATTTGTCTACAGAAACCTGCTTCCACTGAGCAATATTATCACACTTTAGATACTTTCTCATCACTCGTGCAGTCACATAGCCATCCCTGCTGCCCAGGGCTCACAAGGAGGAAATCCAAAGAAACAGCAAGGACTGTAACTGGGATTCCCCATTTTGAAGGGAACAGTCCAATTTTACTCCTGCAGGGAGTAAAACAGCAGCCAATGGAGAGATTGATGGTCTGAGGTATTTCACCACACCCTCATCAATCCAACACAGGGACAGGACTCCTTATCCTAATTCCAGCCAAGGACAGAACAGAGATCTCAGAGCAACATATGTATATATGTTACACACATATATATATATTCATACCCCTTCAGATGACATGCCTGCATAGCATGCAACAAGTAAAGGAAAAGCTGGTGAAACACACAGGCCATTAAAAGCAGCAGTGGTACTGCACCACTTCTGCATCACAAGCGCATCTTCCTTCCCCCTTCAGTTCAGCTTGAGAAGTAAAAATCTCAAGACACTCATTTTGACTTGTAATGCCCATAATTCAGTTGTGGAGCTGTATCACCACAGGGTATTCGCAGGGCAGGATCCTCAGTAAACTCCCATGGAAGTACCTGCTCAACCCTATAAACTCTGTACCAAATTTTCTGCTGTGTGATTGTATACAAATACTTAATCCACAAATCAAGCCTTACAAACTATGAAGCTCCCCTCCTCAGGGTCTTAGGAGTTAAGATATATTTTTAAAAGAAAGATGGCAGAAAAGGACTTCACAGGAGAAGGAAGCCTACAACGATACCAACAAGGCACAGAACAAGAGCTCTGTAAGGCACAGGAGACGACACAGTTTCTTCTTTATAAGCTTTTTTTATAGATTTGAGTTAAATTTATTAGATTCAAATAAAAAAAACATTTTACTGAAATGCTAACAATGCTACTGAACACATTATATATCTATCATTAAGTAGCTGGCTAGGTAAAAAGCAAAACTATTTTAAGTATATACCAATAACTTCAGTTCAGTAGTTACTAGTCATCAGTAGTAGCAGTCATTAATAGCTTAGCATTATTCAAAACACAAGACTTAGAAAAGAGATACCGAAATTCTTGTTCCTCTTCATTGTCACTTTGCAGAAGATCATCATTCAGCTCTTCATCTGACAAGTCTGACTGATTCTAGGTTTCAGAAAAAGGCAATCATGAACATAAAAAAAGGATATAAACTTTTAACTAACTAGGTACTGAAACTGTCAAAACTTCTGCGCACTAAGTATTTTTAATGAAGAATGCATCCCAGACTAAGACCACATCTTCAATGAAATTACCTAATTTGATGAGAAAAAAAAATACACAAGACAACAAATCTGAAAATAAATGTTTGACAGTCTTACGGAAATTTACAAAACTCAATTTTGCCTAGCTATCAATGCTTTTCACTGATGCATTCCCAAATATAGCCAAAGATGACAACTCACTTAAGAAATACCAGGAAGAAAGAAAGGTTAGCTTTAGTGCTCTTAACTGCCTTGTGACGTTGACGCATTAGGCAAGTCAAGAAAAACTACTAAGTCACTGCAGTTTCTAGAAAGCAGAGATACTTAGGAAACTGGAGGAAAGGATATGATGATATGAAGAAAATTGAAAAACCATAATTAGTTTGTAGGTGAAGAAAAAAATAGAAGAAAATATTATGCCTTTTCTGAACTCCTCCTAATTGTCTATCATACTTCCAGTTGTTTCATCTTTTTTTTTTTTTAAATAATTACCCACTAGCAATTGATAACTGCAGTTTTCCTCAGAAACATTATTTCCATCCTCTAAAGTAACAGGGGCAGAAAGGTTATACAAGGGTAGATTTATCTAAAAGTACTGGGATGAGATTAAGTAGAAGCAAGTTCAGCCTACATAGCTCAGGGAAAACTTCGTGAGGAATCTATTATTACTCCACCATATGAGTCCATACCCACAGATACTGCTCGGAGCCCTGTAACAAGGCAAACTGAAAACAAGAATAGAAAAAGCACAAGAACACATAATACATTGGAGAAATCTAGTATTAAAAAAAGAAATTTTTTTTTTTTTTTTTTTTTAAGATAAGTAAGTAGCTTTATCAACTCACATTTCAACTACAAAGATATATGCAATGTTAACTGCTTATGTTTTTGATAATTGCCTAACACACATCTGCAATCCCTATCCTGGAAATTTTATTTTTTAAACCAGTACATGAGACAAAGGAACTTCCTGCCTTTAATAGGGATTACTTACAGAATAATTTCAAGAAGCTAACTTCCAACATTCAGAGTGTGATTATAAAAAATTACATCAATTAAAACTCAACTTTTACCAGATCTGGGTTTCTTAACAAACCTATTCATCTCCAACTAAAACTTTAAAAACCTCACCGTAGAAGAGGAAATTCTCTGCCTACTCATTAGACAAAGTAGTAGTAGATTGTGTGCAGTGAGTGGATCTTTAATAGACACCACTGATGGCTTTTTTATTTACTCTGGTAAATACTGATGGTATTTTGATGAGTAACTTTTAATAGCCAGGAAACTGGCAGTTGAAGTGAATTCTCCAGAATGCTAATCAGCATTCAGGAGGCATAATCGGGTTTTTTTTGTTTTGTTTTTTTTAATTGTTAAGTCAATATGAACAACAGTGAAACCGATTTCGAGAACCATCTCCTTTTTGAACGATGTGTTGAGAAGAAATACTATCTCAGAAAAAAAAAAATTTTCTAGAAGTTTTATTTTAAAAAGCCACACTTGGAGGTACTTCACAAAAGGAAACAGAGCTCTGAGTGCAGAGCGCTCTGGCAACAAGGCAGATCTCAGGTACCTGTGGCTGTCAGGTAACAGTAAAATACATAAAGGGCCATACCAAACAACTGAAGTGGGTAAGTTGAACAAGATTCACATTTAATTTCTGTAACAATTCACTTCAATGCACATCTCTTACCTTTTTGCCAGTTAGCAAATCCTCTCCAAGCAAGTCATCATCAAGTTCACTGGAAAATATTAACAAATTTAAGAAGTTGAACCTTAGAAAACAGAGAGAAGCACCATATAGGGTATACACCTTAAAAAACTAACTTGAGGAGAATTGTCGCCGAGTCTGCACAAAGCTTTCCTTTTAGCAAAGCATTCAGTAAGTTGAAAAAGGAGATATATATTTTAAATGAAACAATAGATCACACATATTAAATAAGACTACTGTTGCGCAGTCATTTCATTTCCATCCGCTCTCCTTTCCATATCCCTACAACTATAACACAGCACATAAACCCAGACAAAGTGCAGGCATTTAAAACACGGTTAGCTAGGTCCCCACTCTAGATTCTTCAGTTCATGGCTGTTTGGGCATATTGTCCAAACTGCTGTTTCCCACCTCTCAAGAGAAGAAGCAAGTGAGACCATAATGTCCTGTGGGCAAGACTCAGTCTACAGACCACCATGTGGCCCAAACTGCACTTCAGCAAGAAGGCGCTGGGAGGCCAGCTAACTTGGGAGACACTTAGGCCTAGGTGTTTCATAAATACTTTATTCCCTCCTCCTCCTCCTCAAGTTGAGGGTAAGATCAAACAGACATCTGTAGGATGACAGAAGTCAAATGCATGTTTCACCATCTTTCTAAGTGCCATCACATAGCATCTGTCCCATAAATAGGATGCAACACAAAGAACTACAGTCCGAATCAGTTAAACTTTAGGACAACTGCTTAATCTCATTCTTCCTTCAGTGAAAGAATTATCTAGTGACAGGAATAAACAGATTCCCGCTTCTATAATAAACACTTATTACTGACAAATGCCTGTATTGGAACATGCATGTCTTAATACTAAAATGAGATGCCAGTGATTTGAAATATGAGCTGTTATTCAAGAATGAGACTATTTCTACCTGCACACCTTAAAAAACAATAAGAAAAGCTCCAAAAACCATGCCTTAGATATTACATAAAAATTAAATACCCCAAAGTGAGAATGGGCTATATGCACAGAATAGGAATATGTGTAAGAAATTTAGACTAGATATAAGGAAGAAATTTTTTACGCTGAGGGTGGTGAAACACTGGAAGAGGTTGCCCAGAGAGGTGGTGGATGCCCCATCCCTGGAAACATTCCAGGTCAGGTTGGACGGGGCTCTGAGTAACCTGCTCTAGTGGAAGATGTCCCTGCCCACAGCAGGGGAGTTGGACTAGATGACCTTTAGAGGTCCCTTCCAACCCAAACTATTCTATGATTCTAAGAATTCCTTAGGACTACATAGGAAATACTTGAAAATGGGGAGGCAATCCCAAGACATAAATCAGTGCTAAGAGTTGGTTTTGCAGCTGGATACATCTCTTCCAGAGCTGGTCACTGTACAGATAATGCAGGGGGGGAATAAAAATCTTGTGGGCTAGAAGAGACCAGATGATACTCCAAATCAGCCCTAAATAGGACATTATCATCAGTACACAGTATTTGTCCATAGTTACTGATCTCAAACAGTTCCAGGAATGACTGAACATTAACAAACAGCAATTCTTTTGTGCTCACTGCAATATTAAACAAAAATTGGGACATAAGACATATCATACATTCCAAAGAGCAAACTGACTAGAATTTAAGCCCTTTATTTCAGAGACAGAAAACTCTACATAACAAATGGGTGCAGAAAAATTTAGAGCCAAAACTGAAGTAGGAAAAAGTCACTAATCTCTTCAGCTGCCAGTAACCTGACAAATGCACCAAAAGGTTTAAAAATATTTCCCAGCACTATGGTCCACCGCTGACAGCTTTTAATAAAACTGCACTAGAGAAATTCCAGAAGATGGCAAGAGCATGTGCTATAGCAGCATTCAAAGACAAAAAGCAAGTTCAGGTAGTAAGAAATTCAGATCAAAAAGGAATGGAAAAGAAAGTGAAAGATTAAATGAATTATCTAAACACAGTTAGGGCTATTCAACACATTACTAAAAAACATCTTCAATGTGATTTAAAAAAAAAAAGATTAAACACTTGGTCAATAGAAGTAATTGCATATGTAGTCTAATTTTTAAAAGCTTTGGCTTATTACTTGACAGTCAAAAGAATTAGCACTAGCACATAAATGAAACTCATAACAGAAACAAAAGCGTTTCACAGAATGCCCCTCAAAACCTATTAAAATATCCAATGTCATTCAGTATTTTCATTGATAAATTAAAAGAAGAAAAATCACCGTTGGTAACTTTTTGAATAAACAAAGTAACAGTGGAAAGCCTGCACAGTAAAGCAGACCTATCTCAAGCTTCTGTTAAAATAGCCAAATCTGAAGTTATCTATCGGAAAGAAGAGGGACCAGAATTACCAGATCTGACTATTAAAAGAAAAAAAAAGAAAAACAAAAAACAAAACCAGATACTAAAAGATCTTAGGCTTGCTGAGAAAAACAGAGAAAAATGAATGGTTGCAATCTGATACCACACAAAGCCACATAAAATAACTTAAACTGGAACAAAAGTACACATTTGTGATGGTCCAACGGCAACTCACCCTCACTATCATCAAGACAAAGGTCTTTCCAAAACAACAATTCTAGGAAATTAGGGCTAAGATAATCTAAGAGTTCACTGCTCTCACAAGAGACAGACCCATTTCCTCCCCTTCCTCAACTCCCAATACTCAACATTCCCCTCACTGAACAAATTCAGCTCACCAAATGAGGAAGAGAAAATAACAATAAAACAGACAGACAACAAAAGTGGAAAGTTTTCTGCCAGTGTAGAGAAATTAATAATCTCAGAGAAGGGTCAGAACAAGCGAATTTCAGCAAAAGTCAACTACTAAATCAGCCCTGTCATCTCAAAGGATAGCACCAGAACTGCATGTTTTTCCCAAACCCAAGCTTTGGGCTACTTAGAGATAAGTGTATAAATTAACAGCCCGTGATAAAGACGTCAGACTGGCCCTTTCTGGCCTCCAATTTCATGAGCATGCCTCATTAAACATGAGCAGTAGCAAGGACAGAAGTGTTTCAGGAAATGAATTTGTAAAAAAAAAAAGTAATGGGAAAATTCTTCAAGAACAATGTTACATTTGTACTCCCAAATAACAGGGGCCTTCCAACTCTCAGTTACCACCCTCCAATGTTTGAGAAAGGAAAGAGATCTGGAAATTCAAAATTATTTAAATGACTGGGGGATGGGATTCATTTAAGTAGCAACACAGTAAGAACTGATGGCTGATCAAGACGTATGACTAACAGCACAACCCCTTCACCCTTCCCCACAAAAAAAAAAAGTGATTTAGGTTGCAAAGCAAAGCATGAAGGATAAAAAACCCAAGTCTACTGTGTTCATTCAGCCTTTTTTCCGTCTTCAAGAAACTGTGTCTTGTACTGAATTAGGCCAGTAGTTAAAAAAATTCAAGCCATTACATTAGGCAACAACATATCCATGTACAGCATTTGTAATTGCCCAGACAACCACAGAACTTAACACTTCCAAAGATAGCTTCACAATGTAAAAAGAATTAATAAAAACATAAAATTCCAACACATGCAAATAAAATAATATTCTATTACAGTTGTAAAAAAACATTTTCTGAAATGATCAGCAAGATGAAACTCTGGAATCTCCAGCACTGCACCTGAAAACACTTCCCTTACAATTTCACTAAAGAATAAACAATATTTTTTTTTATCATCTATCTTAAATTATATGCAGCTAGTTACAAACACAGACAAAACCTTTTTTCTAAAACTGAATCCTTGTGTGCTTCGAATTCTCAGCTTAGTGAAAATACTCCATAACCTTTCTCAAGTCCTGTAAAAATAACTTTGCCACAGGGAGTTTACCATTGCCAATAAGATTACAACTTCCAATACAATGGCTGTTTGGCTCTTCCAAATTTTGTGAAGCGGCAAGAGTAGGACAGCTAAAAACAAATGTGACCAGCCAGCATCTAACAGCCCACCTATTCATATCATGAAGTCAGCAAAGGCAAAAAGTTCAGAAAATATTCTAATACAAAGCATTTTGCCTGTAATATTGGCTTCAGTATTTCTGAATACCCAGAGCTGGGGCTGGGAAGCAGCATGGTACAGTGACCCAGCCTGAACAAGTTGTTTTAATTACACTCTCAAACTAGATCAGTTCCTTGATGCAGTTCACCATCCAACCCACAAACAGCTGTGCTGGCATGACAGAGAGCAGACACCCCTCACCAGCATACAGCAGAACGCCCTGTATAGTGAAGCTATTGTTCAAATTCCTTATTCACTCTTACTCACCTCCCAGAGCAATGAAAACTACCCACTTAACCTAGCAGAAAAGCACGGAGCATGGAAGAGGAAACTAATCCCTCTGGAATGACGATGAATGTGGAGTAGCTGATTCACTCCAAGGGCTCAGCTCAGTGGAAAACTACTTAGGGTAAAATTTGTTTACTACAGTCACTGAATAATTATTAGAAAAGACAAAAATCTCTTTGGAATGTTTTTTTCCCCTTTTTACAGTGAAAACCACTGGCAGAGTCTGAACAAGCGTCTCCATTATTAAAAAGGAATACTAAAAAAAAATATGCCTACAAAAAAGTGAAAAATTTTCTCCCAGAAAGAACAGACAAGTCTAGCCAGCAGCTTGATTCAAGTCTTTCCCAGCTAGAGTGCCTTTGTGTAAAAGAAAATGCTCTCATTCTCCCCCAAAATAACTAAATTCATACATATTTCTAAATCTTTACAACAGTCATATTTTTTCAACAGAAGCCCATACCTAAGCTCCATTATTCTGCTCCAACGTAAAACTGAAGCAGGACTTTGAGGATAAGAATTTAAACATCTAGTTAAAAAAAAAAAAATAGGTGGGGCAAATTCAAGTACTAGCAAAATCTAACTATTTAAACCATTGACATCTACTAAATATTTAAAAGGAAAACCAGGACATTAATTGCAAAGTTAATTACACAACACAAATACTTTGTATTTATCCAATTTTAAATGGTATCTCTTCATAGCACACTCTATATTCCTCAAGGCAAGTATATGTTTGGCACAATCTAGCATCAGCTGACACATGCATAACCACCACCATCTTCATTAATATCTAAATGTGCGCTACTCTAAATGTTAGAATATAAAATGCCAGAATGGGAAAACAGAGCAATGTAATTCAGCATACAGAAACTGAACACGAAGATATTCTACCTACCTGTCCCAGTCGTCATCTCCAGCTCGTCTTCTCCAAGACCTTTCTGCACCAGGCTTATCAAACTGATCAAAGTCATCATCTGTAAAGAAGGTGACTACATTAAATAATTCTTACTGAAATGAAAGGTTTCTGAAGCAACCACTTAGGTGGGATGGGGGGGTGTTGTTTTTTAGAAGATGCAAAAATAGCTTTTTCTACTTTCCATTTTAACATGAGGAAAACAGATAAATACCAACATGCTTCAATAATAAAGAAAACATGATGTACTATATAGCTTTCCCTCTTCTCACTATTGAGGCGAGGATGACCCGAGGAAAACAGATAGAGCATGAGATAAATCACTGGAAAATGTTGTCAACGAAGGTCATCCCAGGGACAGGAGCTCCCCAGAAATGCATGAAACCGAGGGGCAACGGAGGTGAAGGGAACTACATCTGCCAGATCTCTGCTTGCCTTGGGGGCCACAAGCTCATCTATCCACACTGAGCCTGCAAAGGCACTTTGAAAATAGGAGTAAACCTCAGGTCAGCACAAGGCATGATGGTACCAGCAACCCGAAACAGAAGAGAGAAGTCAGGTGTAATACACCATCAATTACCTCAACAGGGGCATTAAAAACACTAGAAGTCACTGAAGCAGGTTACGCTGTGTACCTAAGCATGCACATGCCTTCCAAGATAAACTGGTGCTCCATATATTTCTCTCAACAAGTACCATCACTTTAGCCTATCAAATCACAAATTACTCTTGCATAGCTTATTTTGCAAATGACAATTTTGCTACTTAAAAATACTAGAACTTCCATTTATCTGCAAAAGACATGCAAAGCTCATCTGCTCTGTTCAGACATCCAGACATCTCGTCATCTGTAAACTGAAAGCGCATACCTTCAGAAACACTCAACCCTCACTCTCCCATCCTGTGGCTACAGCCCAGAGAACGCACACCTGGAATTAGTGTCTTTTCACACATTTTAATGACTTTTGTAAGAGTAAAACAAGTGGGCAAATAAAAGTTATGCTCAACACATGTGGAAACTGGCTGCAGTTTAATCGTCTGCAAAATACAGGAGCTTAAGCAATCCAGTCCTTCCAGTCTGAACTGGTGAACACTAAGATGCCACAAATCCAGTCATTCTCCTGACTCTATTTGTACGCAACTCTTTGACCAAGTACAATGCCAAGGATCAACTGGGGTTTTGTGTTTGTTTTTTTTAATGAACCTTCAAAATCAAATCTGTCTTCAGCTCTTTAAACTCCACCCAGTATCCTTTAGTGAATATTCCCTCCATGCAATGACAAATCTATTCAATTCTTACTTCATATAATCAAAATACAGGTGTTAGTGACTGGTAGAAGTTTAAAAGGAGGTAAAAACATTAAAAAGAGAAAATTCAGTCCTTGCCATGTCACTAAATTAAGAGCTTTCCAAACCAGAAATTTCAGTCATAAATAGCTATGAAAATAAGACTGCTCAGTATGAATTACAATGCAACACAAGTCAAGTGTGGCAGCTCTTTTGTTTTGAAACAGTAGGTAAAAACAATTCCCCTTGATCAGGTTCCCCCCTTTACTCCCTACAGATACTTTTATATTTTAATTAATCTTCTATATTTAAACTAATTTACATGGACTAACACTATTGAAACAAACAGTTGTTTTACATTTCTCTGCTCAAACATCTACATATTGCAACCTCCTTCAATTCCAATTCCTATTTCACCCACAGGGGAAAGCCAGACAGATATCCAAGCATTTACTATCTTCCTCTTGAACACTAAATTATCTGATTTTGTGGTCTCTGAAAAAAAGCCACCTTGCTCTCTTTATGGTCATTCAAAACCATGCTGCAGTAATTATCTTAGTGCATTGACATTTTAAGGGCACAAATATCCTGCACTGTCATTGTTCTTACAGCTGGATTGCAGTAATCCACTGACTTGATGTAACCACCTCCAAAGATTTTTTTTTTTTTTTAAGGTAATGCAACTGGTTTTGCAGCAACCCAAATTACAAGTGACACTTACTGTGTTTTTGCATCTTCCAAAAAAACACCCACACATTGACTAACATAGTTCAAGACAACGACCACCATCAGGAAGACAGTAACTTCTTTTTAAGCTATGCCTGCTTGCTTGCAAGATATCATGTTTTTTCATGCCAGGCACCACTTTTAGAACTACAGAGAGCTGTACTATAAACCAACACCACTTGAAGACACGATCTTAGCTCTTCAGCACACAATTCTTACACAGATGGACCTTCACATCAGCCAGGTATAAATCTAGACAACACAAGGTTACTTGCCAAACCCTTTTTCTCTGTTGAGATCTCTCTCCGGCAAAAAGAAACACTCTTCAGTATAATTCATAGTACTTTTCCAGGCCAGATAGGTAAGTTTCACGGCCATAAAAGTGCTTCAACCTAGTATTACTGCTAGCAAAGAAACAATACCAAAAGAGGGTCCAAGTTCCCGCCAAGTTTCTAGCATAGACCTGGACTCCCACTCAGCCAACATCACGAACCTCCACCCTCCAGCTCTTCCAGCCCCTCCAAATTTCTCACATCCTATTCCTTATTTATGATCAACTCCTACCAAAATCCAGAGCTGAATTAAATCCATGCAAAGCCCTTTTCACAAGTCTCCTCTAGCAGGATGCATAGAAAAGCCTCAAAAATGACTGGTCAATCTGTGTGTGGTGACCACAGCTTATTAGAACTGTTCCACATTTATCCCCACCACCTCCTTGTTGTCATCTCTTCTCTCCCTGTCTCATCACACACATGATATAAAGATCTTTGGGACAGAGGGAGCCAGCTTTTCTTTTTTATGCTTATTTGTTCTGTGACAGCTGACACCAACAATGAGCATTACAAATTACGTCATTTTGACATTAAGTCTTATCAGAGCCCAAAGCAGATTGTAGCTCTCCTTTAGAAAAGGAGGTCACAACAGTCACGCATCTACAAATAGCATTCATTGCCAGCTTTATCGTTTGCGAGATAGCAAGCATTGAAATGGACACAGGCCTTACACCTGCAGTGCGATGTGATACCTAGCAAACCTCAGTGAGGCATCATCTTTTTTCCATTCCTGAAACTATACATATTTTCATTTTTCTTCTACCTGTCTAGGCAACATTGGAAAATACCAGTAAACAACAATCAGCATAACATTTATGGATGTTTCTCCTTGAGAAACTCTTGTAAGTCAATGTTTGTGTCAAGCTTGGTTAAGTGCCTGTAAAACATTAACTTGTACAGAAAGAGGAACACTCAGCATCAGCAGAGCACAACACCACTGAGAGCAACAGGCAAAGTTTTGGGTTTTTTTATAAATTTCAGTACTACTGTGTGGGAGGTGCAGAGAGAAGAAAAAAGGGAGGGGTCGGAATCCATGAACATAAGCTTTTTAAGCAGGGAAATGTCCATTGTAGGAGTTGGAAGAGGTTTTGTATTTCTTCCAGCGGTATCAGTGCAGCCTAGAAAGGTAATCGTACATAGCAACTGCTGCTAAGACATGCAATGCAATGGCTACGGATCCTCGTTTCAATTCAAGGCTCTCATGGCAAAGCTCACCAAGACGTGTGCACGTTAGCTGGGTATCAACTGGAAGATCCTGAAAGGTGATCACTAAACACACTAAGCCCCCTCTCTAACCTCCAGGCAGCACTAGAAGGAAAAAAAAAAAAAACCAAACAACAAAAAAACCCAAGACTTATCACATACCAAAAAAGCACTAACTAAAAAAGTAAGCAGGACAGACCAGTTATACAGGAAAACAAAATAATCCACCTCTTGGCTCTTCCTACTGCAGCTCTAAGAAAATCGCCATTATCAAAGTGACAGAGAAGTTGCAGGATGCTGCAGAGACTGTCTAATGCTGGCTGTTTTGTTAGACCAGCCTGCCTCACAAGGCCCTGGCCAGCTATGAACCAGAATAAGCACAAAGACAGCCAAACATACTTGGCTGCCCACACTAAAAGGTTCCTATTTGCTTTATACTTACCCTGGTGTAAGCACCGGCAGTGCTACAAGCTGTTCTATGCAGCTTATTTTTTAGTTTTATGATACATGCCCAGAACTGCTACCTTCTTTCCTGCTTAATAAGGACAGATCATCCACACTAGAAACCCACAAAATACAAGCCTCATTTCCTCTTTGGCTATGCTGATGGTAGTTTCTAACTCTCTGGACACCCTTTCAATAAAACCTTCACTAATCGTTTTTCTATGTAAAATGGAAGTCCTAAGCTACACAGTCAAGTCTCGCAAGCGTAGAAGGTGAATCATCAGGAACACTGCAGAGCTCTTAACGTCTTAAAATGGAACCAACATAGCCTAAAAGGGTAGTCCTACATAGCAACTGTTGCTAAGATGAAGTATTTTACTGCGATGAGATGGCCAACACTTCTAGACTAGGAAAAACATTTGATGACTGCATCATTCGTCTTCCTAGAAATACACCTGCACGCTTTCTGGAACACTAACCCCATGCTGTCTCATAAACCTTCTTAACAGTTCAAAATTTTGTATTTTGGTTCCCTTCAATATTACACTGTCATGAATATCAAACATACTATTAGTTTTAGGCATTGAAAAAGCATCGAAGATTTCTCCTTATCCAAAACAAGATCGAGATGCCACAATGATCCAATAGTTCAATGGATAAAAAAGTATTAGGCACTGTTTACCCAACAGGTCTTTTAATAAAGTAACTAAGCTGCACTCCTTTTGCACAGAACAGGTAAGCGAGCTATTAAAAAAATGAAAAAGAAAAGAAAACTAGAGGAAAAAAGTCATTCACCACATCAAAAAACGTCACTTCTCTATGCTTAGATTTAATGCTGAACATAACAAGTCCGTCTTGATCTATCCCATTCCCCAGTATCATATTTAAAACACTCAACATGACAACTTGACAGCATTTCAAGCACAAGTCTCCAGATTAAAAACAGCTTACCAGCTTATCTTTATGTATTAGTTTATATCTACAGAATATTTTTCTTCATATTTCACTGCAAAAGGTTACACAACACATCGGTATTGTAAAGCCTTGATTTTCAGGAACTGAGTATACCATTTAAAAACAGACCTATGTTTCTGCCCAATAGTGAACTGCATTTCGGTATCTCTTGCTATGCGATACAGAAGAATAACACATTTCATGAGGAACAGCCGTGTCTAAAACACAGGCTGGCAATGTAACTGTACTATTAACACCAGTTGAATGAAAACTTTTGGCAACAAATCGCAACAACATCTAGCAGTAAAAGCACAAGGTCAACAGGAACTCCTGAACCTGAGTCTGTGATATACACCTAACACTTTATGAAGCACACTATGAATCCAGTCTCATTTATTACAGATAATCAAGCTCTCTACCCCATCACAAAAATCCCATTCACTCCTACTATTGCATTATGCACAAGAACACACATGCACAAATACACCACACACAAACAGTTTAGTTTATCTTTTCAAGGATAGACATCATGTAGCCTTTATATTGGTAAACAATTACTCATAGAAGCATTAAGTATTCAGTGACTAAGTATTTATAACCATGTAACAACTGCATAACATGTCCCTCAACTAGTGTATTTTGTGTTTTCTTTCCAAATTACTCCTATAGGACAGTGTTTAGCTTCCTCAAAGAAATAAAGTAGAAAAAACTAATTTCTACAGGAGATAAGTTCTTTTTATCTTCTCAAAAATATCTTTTTTTAGAGTTTCTCATGATGCAAAGTAAGCCACTAGCAAGAACAGAATTATGATATGCTGCCAAGAACTGAAGTTCTCTTTCTAATCACTGCTTGAGAGAAATAGTACCTTTTTTATTCATTTTATATTTACAAAAAAACCAAACAAAAACAAACAAAAAAACCCCACCCTACATCTACACCCCAGACCACCAAGCCACAAAAAAACATTTCCAAAGTCTGCTTGGATTTGAAAATATATTTGCTTTGGAAAAACATTTTAGAAGTGTCATAGTCCTTGCCTCACAAACACACTGAACAGTCAATGAAGGCCAAGAGTTTAAATGAAATCCACATGAACTCAGCTCCCAAACAGCTTTGGACACTGACGAGAAACTGCAACTCTCCAGAAACTCTCCAGCATCTTCCACAGCCACCAAAAGTTATAGTTGAAACTGAGGCTACATTACAGCAGAATATAACACAGGACCAATCACATTACTTAGAGGTTTTTTGGTCGTCAGCGACAACCATCATCTTAAATTATTCTGGACAAGTTCTATGTGACCTAAAATCTGAGGTTTAGTATTTGATGTAATAAAGTATGGTTTGGCTTTTGTAAAAACAAGTGATACTAAGGCTGTATTTAATTTAGATGACCTGAAATGAGAGAACATTCAGAAGAATGTGACTTTTAGTGAATGCTTGTCAAAGCAGCATAAAGATATTAAAATTGCTATGCTTTAAAGCAAATCTGCCTGCCACAAGCTCATTCAAGTAGTAATGTTTTTTGGCACTAGTCCTTAGCTGGTACAATAGCCCATGATCATATACTCGTATTTCATGGATTGTAAACTCTATAGGCCTTTGACACTTAGAGGAGTTCTAGTGTGTGCATATTCCAATATAACTCTAAGTTATAGTGACCAGTTGCATCAGTCCACCTAATGAAGTAGGATGCGGTACCCACAGAGACCAAAACACAGCCAGCACTCCATCCACTTTCATCTAGGCACAAATGCAGAATCTATTTCCAGCCCCTGTATGCTGCTGTCAAATAGCCTGAAGCACGACAAATTCAACTGAATTTGTCAGACTGGAGAATTTTTACCACATCCTTGAATTGGATAGTGACCTACAACACAGAGAAAGGTGCTTGCTCTGCTAGCAGGATAAGCTTTTTTCCAATTTTTATCAACAGCTTCACAAGAGGTTTTTAAAGCCACTACATTGCTGAGGGCTCTCAGATTAGTTAAAATGAAATTAAACTGATGACAGCCTAAATTCAAGCTGGAGGAATAACATAATAGGCTCCGAGGTAGAGAAACACCCATTCAGCTACTCTTGGTACAGGACTTCCAGCAGGAATATGGGGTAGACATGTATAGACGGGGCCCTCTTCAGCTCCTCCTCCACCCCATCCCCTGTCATGATTCACACCCCAAGGATATCTACACTCAAAGTCTTCTAGACCACTGAAGTTCATCAGAAGTGAATTAATCTGAAAGGAAGAAAATTTACAATAGTTTTCTCTTCAATCAAGGTAAGAAGTGTTCCTTGATTTGTTTTAGTGATGGTTTGTTGTTTACCCTGTAACCGTCTCTCCCTAAATGAGGTTACTGGTATCAATTCACAGCTAGATTTTAAATACCAAGTAAAAATTTCAGCATCTATACAACACAGTTGTTACGTTACGCTATAAGCAGATGATCACTAAATCATAGAACAGCCCAGGTTGGAAGGGATCTCGAAAGAGCAAAGGAATTTGTGAAGTAATACAAAGCTGTGAATCATTCCCAGAGACCTCAAAGACCACC